TCTGTCTGTCTGTGTGTCTGTCTGTGTGTGTGTGTGTGTGTGTGTGTGTGTGTGTGTGTGTGTGTGTGTGTGTGTGTGTGTGTGTGATACATCACTGAATGCTTTAGGTGACAAGCGGCAATTAACCGTGGAGCGAGAAGACATTTATAAGCATTTCATATCTCATTAAATACATTTATTTGTCTTAGAAGAAATGGTTATTCTTGTTTTCTTTGGAACTTGAGTGATTGATCATTCAAACGTTGCACTTGTTTTTTTGGTGTCACGTTTAAAGTTGTGGAAGATTAGTCAGTTGAAAACCTCTAAAAAGAAGAAGCAACGCATACGGTTCCCATTTATGTATTCCCTCTTAGAAATACCTTTATCCTGCGAGACAGACGGAGAGCCAATAAAACCCCCAGAGAGAATATTTGTATCCGATCCGCCCTTTCTCTTTGTCTCTCTTTACCACTGTGAGATCAGCTGTTATATCTTTTTTTGGGAGAATAAACAAATGCACTTTTGGCTGGACGAGGTAAAAAAAACTGTTCCCCCAATGAACGTCGCTCTAAGGCCTTAAACCCTGCAGCAAAATTGAAATAATAATGATCATAAAACCTGAAGAGGTTACCGATCCACGCCGAAACACTGACGATCAAATCATAACCTCCCTGACAAATCCCAAAAGAGAGATTTAGGTACAAATGGTATCTCAGGAATCTACACCTCCTCCAAGGTTAATAAACATCTACTTCTTTTATTTGCCTTTTTCTGATTCGGAGCAGAGGGAAAAAATATTTTTTTATATCCCCTCAGGCTGCCAGAGAGGCCAAATCAGTTTAATTGTTTTGCACAACAATTACAAAATGCAGATGATGCTCAAACAACGTCCAAGAAACATAACTATGTTCCACCTTGTACTCACGTAAGACTGTATAATAGCTCATAAAGAGCTGATTGGAACCAGTTGGAACCAGTTGATCCAGGAGGAAGGTGTCTAATGTCCTGGCCATGTTGGCATTGGCTCCAGCATCATCATCCTCCAACATCAAAAGACCTCCACCTCCAGCTGAGATGTTTATCTGCGTCCAAGTCTTGGAGCCACCCGGCCAAAAAGAACAATTGTGTTACCATCTCCGTGTCCAACGCTCGCTGTCGACATCCCAGAGTTCATAGTCAACACACGGTGTCGCAGAAAAAACTTAAAAGCCCCCTCTCTTCCATAATCGCGAAGAGAAAAGAAAACTTCCTCATGTTCGAGTCCAACTATGTTTCCAGATGTGCCCGGGGTCAGAGGTTAAAGATGAAAGTACCAGGATGTGGTGTACCTTCGACTAGGAGCCGGTCTGCAGTGAGCATTCCTCCCTGGAGAGGGGGGGGGTGAGCAGACTCCGGGTGTTTCCCCCCTCCACCGCTCACAGTGTGCGGCCTCATTTCGCGGCGGTGAATTATGACACCGCAACTTTCATGCTTGCTACTTTGGCAATGTTTACCAAACGGCACGGAGGCGGCAGAATGTCAGCCATGTTAAACGTAGCGGGTGAAAAACAAGTGGGGAAGTTGTTTTCAAGTCTTCGAGTCTCACACTCGCCTCTGACCTGCTCCACAGGGAGTCTCTGGAAGTGTTAAACTACTCAAATTAAATCATTTAGCGCCACGTCCTATGTTAGGAATTCTAAAAAAAGTCAGCAGTGTGAAGCAGGCCGAGGGTTTGACTGATAGCTCGGAGTAAAGACCGGCCTTCCTGCAACCCACCCCCACCCCCGCCTGCTGCTGAGTGCCAATAGAGACATCACAAGTTAAAGCGTAAGAGTCTATTACGTCGATTCAAGAATGTCTCTCAGAAATTGGGCTAATTTCACCAAAAAGCGTTAATACGATTATTTCAAGTGTGTGAGAGGCTTAATAAGTGTGGAAATTGGCCTGTCATATAAGACCTGAGAGCGCTGGCAAATTGCGTGATTACAGTCGCAAAGCCTCGGCCTCGCTTATTGTTTCTTTACATATCGTAATCTGCTAAATGAAAACGGACTGGACAACTTCATTAGGATTCTAGAAAAAAAAAAGTGGGTACATTAAAAATGACAGAGACAACTTTATTATGGTAATAATGAGCTTTAGAGGATGTACAAAGATTACACGTCCCTTGAGATGGCTTCTTTTATTATTAGGCTCCGAAAAATGGTTTTATTACCCCAGCCTCCAGACTGCTCCTGCCCAAGCATGACCACACAGGCCCCAGATATGGAAAATAAAAGCAAACACTAAATAATTTATAATGATTACATGAAGATACGAAGAATAGATGGAACAACTATGGAGACGTTCTGTTAAAGTGTATTTCTGAGTTTCCTTTCGAGGTGTTTGCACAGCTTTGGGTTGCTTTGGGGTGTCGTGCATGCTGAAGGAAGCGTGCAGGGCCACTAGATGGAGTTAGATCCTTCAGAAGAGCTTTGGGACCCTGCAGAAACAAGACGATAACAGCAGAAGTGAAGCAGAGGGCACGTAGTCCTTCTTCACGTGCACAGACCTGCAGAAAGCCTACTTCCCTCTGCACAGTGGCTACTCTTATTTAGCATCCTAGGACATAAATAGACTTTACACATGCATACCATGGGAGCAGATACCTTTTCTTATTAAAAATGAAAATGATAATCACCCTGAGTGCATCCCCCAGCTTTCAGCCCCTCTCATACAGCGAGCTAATTACCCATGTTAGTGCATTATATCCATACGGCTATATGTTTGCACTTGTGTTTTCTTACTGTGAATCTAGAAAATGAACATCGACCACCTGCGTTCTCCCACCTCCGTAGTGTCAAAGTCCCGGAAAAAAACACAGTAACATCTTAAACAAGGTTGTGAAATCGACAAAAATGTGTAAAATCGTTTTCTCAGAGCTTTTAATTAGCCATTTTCCAGGTTTCTCTATAAGAGACCATCATTATCACATCTCAGTTTTTGTTTTTGAACGTAGGGACGGAGAGCAAAAGGGACTCGAATGCATCATGAAATGTGGCTGACAGCTCGCCTTGCTGTGTGATATGATAATGCTGATGGAAGCATGTCCCCGTGTCTAATGGAGGGGAAATTATATACATCGATAAGGGGAAAGTGACATGCTATTCATATCCTCTTTGAGTCCAACAGCAGTATTTAGTGTTAATGGCAGATGAAAGCAGAAGTCATAATTGGAGAGCATTAGGAGGTCAGTTTCTACACGGATACAGTCTGATCTAAAATAACACCATTTTTTCATGGTTTTAGGTACAAAGAAATCATCTGGATATTATATCGAGAGCTCCATATGTCACTGTTGTGATGCTCCAGTGTCTTGACACAATGTAATGTGGGATTGAGGGGAAACAAATGTAAGTGCTAGTCCCACAGGAGTAAACGTGAACTCTGTCAACAGATGTTTAATGCTGTGAAAAAAAAAAAAAAAAATCCCCATTCCTCTTGATCTCTCATGTGAATTGCACCATTTAGCATGTAGCAGTTGTGACAGGTAATTGACTCCAGGATGGAATGAGGAGTATGTGTGTGTCATGGTAAATAATGCATTGTTTCACAGGCCCCTATGAATATTCATTGTGCATGTTGATTGAGTGACACTAAACAAACACCTTTATATGTTTCAGTTTGTTTTTCTACCGGTTTCAAGAAGAAAAACTAATAAATAATATTACTTTTAATTACAAAAATACAACTTAATGTGCTTCAATCAACGAAATCTGTTGACACAATACATTTAGTGTTTCCTATCACTGTTCCTCTCCACTAAAAAGCAGCAGATGCGTTTAAAATACTGCGATGAATTAACCATTGTTGTGGGATGATCTCATTTACGTCCTGCTTGGAGCTCAAACTTCTAATTCTCTTTACATACTGAAATATTAAAAGCCTAATATGTCATCTGTCATGGCTGTCATTTATCATCTTAGCTGCAGCGTGTCCTGTGGGCCTGTAAAGATTTCCCTTCAAATGACTTCTTATTAAATCGCCCGCGTTTGTTCCTGTTTCCACGGCTGTCCTCGCATTTCATTCTGAACTTGGCTCCATTAGCAGCTGCTCTCTGCGTCCTGAGGTTCCTCCACGCCTTCATTTACCAAATGACCCAACATCCCTCGTCTCTGTCTGCCTCGGACAGCTGAGCTGATTAAGAAGTTGCCTTTTCAAACACTAATGTATTCCACTTCACAATTTTGTTACGCGGCCATTGTTTCATTTAAAGTTTACCCTCAGATGGAAGTCACGCCA